AATAATTTTTAATATATATTAAAAACATAATAATAATAAACAAAGGTCCAAGTTACAATTAGTTCCTTAAAATACTCACCTGAGCGATAAATATGTCAGGGGCCCCCAAAATTAAATTTTTTGTCTAAATAATATAAGTACTGGGAAAGTAAAATACACATTTTAGCACCTCTGGATACAGATGCGAAGTACCCATACAGCGTGCATAGCCCTCTTACCTTAAAATGCCCTTGGGCAATAAAAGGAAATAAATAAAAAATTATGTATATATAACATTTATATATTGTACTTTGTAATAAAGAAATTCCTGGAGGGTAGGGAAAAAAAAATACACATTTTAGCACACTTATCCTGTCCTGTCTTAAAATACTCCAGGGTAAGAAAAGGTATAAGCCAATCGCTGCCGCATATATATACATAATTGTATATATATACAGCATTTGATTAAAATTTCTTAGAGAGGGCAAGAAAAAATATATACATTTTTATACAAAATAATTATTATTAAAGTCATTTTAAACAATAAATTTTAAAATAGTAATATAGAACTTTGTGCTCAGGTGTTGTTTTAAGTCCTCTACTTTAATATGTCTAACGTCCTTGGTCAACATTATATTCAAGCAGGCATGATGAATAAATTATATTCCGATTGTCTTTTATTGTTTACTTTCCCTTAACCACTTCACATCTCATTTTTCGACGTTCACAAAAACTTTTGCTATTCAAACACATTTATTTTTATGTATTCAACCAGCTCTAAAAGAATATATTTAGTCATAGACTTTTTATTCTGTTTGGAAGGGGGAGGAGCAATGGATCCTCCCCCACACAAACATTCTTGGAAGTTTTATATTATGAGTGATCATTAACATAATTATTATAAAACGAACAATACAATACTGTATATTAAGATATAGAAAAAAATATTAAGATATTACTGTAAGATTCAAACAGGTTAGAATAGCATAGGTGTCAGTAATAAATCTTACATTACTACACCATTTAACTGTTTTAGAGTGATATATTATCTCTGTTTGGTTAGTCTTATTAAGATATTCTGAGCTGTATGATGATCTATTTTCCCTATTCTTATGTTTTTCAGTCCTGAGATAATTAAGGCATGATGTAGAAAAATTCATCATCTTAATATTAGTTGTGCAGCTAAAATTCTTTTCAGTTCGCTAATGAGTAGAAATGCTCATGAATACTTTCCTACTTAATTTGACATTACACTGCATGAACTTGTGCTTTAAGTGCAGATAATAGCATATGGGTGATTCACAATTAGCTAGCAATTTTGAAATCATAATGAGGTCAATATGTGACAGTGAGAATATGAAATGCATCCAATTTATCTAGGTTACACTACGATTTGATAAATAAGACTCGAAAATACAACCTCAAAAAATATGATATAATAATTAATAATTCAAAAATATTTTTTATTATTTATTTTTCCATATTTTTCATGATCTCGCCTAATTTACACGAATTCGCACCAATCAATAAAATAAAAAAACAAAAAATATAATAAATTTTAAAAAATATAATCATAAGAATATACCGTAAATAAGAATGCATAATTATTAGAATAAACATATGTTTTTCGTAATTAGAAAAATTATCATATATATGCATTTATTTCAGAAACTTACAAACAAGATATCAATAAATCTGATAGCTAGTTATTAAACATTTTATTTCAAATATAGATTTTTTTTTTAAATATTAATTCAGAACATTATCTTATATCTTTGAATTATATTTTAATATGTTACAAAGTAACGTTTTTGATACGTATGCAGTATTGTTAATTGATCTAGCTTATGTTTCGATTAGATAAATAAACCTACAAAATACAGTCCTGCAAAAACATGATGTAGTATATAATGAATAATTATTTATAAATATTTTCTATTATTATTAATTTTTGCGTAATATAATCAAGAAAGTTTGGCCGTCGGTAAGAAAATTTTGTTTATAATATCACTTAATTTACGTATTTAAAAAATTTATGATTATATATCTACATCTATCAATCTTAAGTAAAAATTCATGTTAATTAGAATTGACATATTTTTTTCGTAATTAGAAAATGATCAGGTATATGAATTTATTTCAGAAACATTAAAAAAACAAAAAAATGTATGAGTTGCGTCAAAATTCTAAATTGCCTAATTTCGATTTAAAAATGGAGGCAAACATGAAATATCAACAAACCTGATCTTTTGTTATTATATATTTTATTTTTTAAATAATATTATTTTAGAAGACAGTTCATATCTTCTTATCTTACATCTTTGAACTATATTTTAAAATATATTATATAGTTAGATTTTTTATAGTATGCAGTCTTATTTTTTTTTAACAACGAAATCGTATTTAACAAGGCATTAAAAAATAATCAGGGCCGAAAAGCAACATTTATCTGTGAATTAAGTGAATTCGGGATTTTTTTTTTTTAATGTTTTACAATTAATGTATGTCCAAGACGCTACCGGCATAAGTTGTTCGTATTTCTATGATGTTTACACAGCTCCAACTCCATTCAAAGAGGCAGGTACGTCAACAGATATCTATTAATATCTCCTTCGCCCATTGAATCACCATGCTGAATGCATATAGTATTATAATTTGATATCATTAAAATTATGTAGAAATTCCAGAAAGGATTGATGAAAAAACCAGGACCTTACGAGACGTTGGAGGCTGGGCAGAGATACAAACCAGAATAAGGCTGACATTGAAAATTCCCCACCCTTTAGCTTCACATCAATGATGTATAAAAACCGAAGTTGTATTCCTATCAGTCGGATTTTCCAACTGGAGGTAGCCGTTTCTAGCTGCTTCAAGGTAAGTTCGAGAAATATCCAAGATTTAGATATCATATTTAATATTTATAACTGAAGACATGAGTGAACAATGATGATGTTATGATAAAAATTTAAAGTTTTGAAAAAATTAAAAGAAAAGATGGTTTTTATTTACTCTATCCAATCCAATGAAGAAATCATGTGATTTGCCAAGAATCGTGAGTTATTTATATTATTTTATGTTACAAAGCGAAAATAACCACGTAGCACATTTGTTCATAAATGAAAAACGAAAATTAATTTTTTTATATTTTTTACATAGCACCTTCATCCATCCATGTCTTCAATTGTCAACAATAACCGATTTAGTGTAGAATATAAATAATATTTGAATAAAAAATATACGTAGCCCTATTTAAATTTATTTTATTTTATTTTAAAATTTATTGATGGGCAAGTAGGTAATCCGTGGTACTGACCCTTTTTTTATCAAATTATTAACATCTTCCTGAAACTTAGTAAATAGCTTCATCTCATTGCAGCCTACAACTATTTTATTTATAAAAAATCTCGGAATTGGGACGTTTTCAATCTGGAAATCGGCAAATAAAAGCGAACGCAAAACGGCCCAATATTTTTAAGGGCACCTTTTTTTCTCGATTTTGTGCTCAAATTATCTGACTATCTAAGTGGAAAACAAACGGATATTTACGAGTGTGTAATACCTAATTAAATAGACAAATTTTGCCGATCTTCAGATTAAAAACGCTCCAATTCCAAGGGTTTTCGTAAATAAAATAGTTGTATGTTACGATCATATGAAGCTATTCACGAAGTTTCAGGCGGATGTTAATAATTTGAAAAAAGGGGTCTGTACACCGGACTAGGATAATAAAATCGTCATCATAATTGACATTTTTAATGCCACTATAATTTTTTTAATAATTATTTTTAAAAGTTCCATATAAGTTTCAGTAACTAATTATTAAAACAAATATTTAACTATATTGCCTTTTTTAATTCATTTATACTTAAAAGCCGATATCGAAAATCTTCTAATAATATCATCTCTGACCAAAGACCTGTTTTAACACACAGTATTTTCTTATTGGGAATTGATTTTTTTTTTTTCACAACAGCATTTACGTACTACACTAAAAAACTTCGTATAATATTATATATATATATATAAAAATATACGAAACAATTGAAACTTCTTTTAGAAAGTAAAAAAAACAATCCATTTATATTTTATCTATTTTCTTTAATTCCAAATATTTAATAGCCAACTATTGAATAAGAATTTTTTTTTACGGTTTAAGGTTTTTATCGTTAACAATTTATAATTTTTAATTTTTATTATGGTAAATATCTCTGTCCCTCCCCCCCCCCAGTAATTAATGAACGACTAAAGTGGTCTTCAGCACAATTATATAAAAATATTCTAGATAATACAGTTCCCTACCAACCCTCCATCGATAGTTGTCATTACTCACTGTAATGAAGTAACTTAATTTTTCTCACGTCAGTTAAGCCAGGTTAGCTCTGAGTAACTGAATTCTAATATCGGTTCAAAAAACAATAGCAGGAACCATTTAATATACAGTGTTTTAATGCAACGTACATTACATATTTTTAAAATATTAACCTTACATAACAGATCTTATTATAGAAAAAAAAAAATGTCAAGGCATGAAACTTAAACTGAACTAGGTCTTAATCAGTGGATCTCAAATGTGATTTTCGCGGCACATTAAGGTACCAAATGTAAAACTACAATTGAGCCTAAAAACATTAAAATAAAATTAGATATATTCGATTAAATTAAATCGATAATAATATAAATTTTTATTTCTATATAAAATAATAATGATAATAAGATAAAAACTAAAATCAAGAAGATACAAATTTTAAGACCAACGGGGCTAAACAATTTAAAATATTTATGAAATTTTCAAATATAGTTCACATAAATTTATTTTATATATTAAATTAATACAGTGTAATTAAGTGATTTTGTATGTTGGAGAAAAAAAATTATAAGATATAAGATAAAACAAAATATAGTGATTTATTCAAACATTTTACATATTTAATATGTTTGTATATTAGCTTAAAATATATAGCTTTATGTATAATATTTATAATGAAACAAAAAAAATTTATTTTGCAGAAAATCATATAATAATGGGAAAATTATATTCCCTAGGATGTTTAGCAGTGCTGTCTCTTTTACTAGTCACAGGTAACTTTTTATTTTTCCCATATATATATATATATATATATATATATATATATATATATATAATATTAGTTTTTATTTCTTTAGCTTTTTTTTTTTTTTGTGATAGCCAACTCAAATAAATTTTGCCTGAAAGGAGGGGGCATTTTTTAATATTTAATTTTTTTCCAGTAGATGTAATTTTTTTGTAATTAGTTTGTTAAAAATTTTTTAATACTTGCAATCAATCTGCCGCTGGCATTTACTTATTCAGAAATTTGTTCTTTATATTTATTATTATTTTATTTTTTTTTTTGGAATGAGGGGGGGGAGGAGCTGCCTCAATCTAGCCCTCACCTGACTGGATCCTTGCATCATGATCACCATCATCATTATTTCCTCTTTACTCCTCAAGTAATCCTATGCAGTGTGAATTTATCTCTTGCGGGGTCTGGAAAAGGTTTCTAGTTCTTAAGCCAACTCTCTCCTGCTATTTCAATTTATACTTCCCTTCCAGAACGCCTCTTTGACACTGTCTTCACAGGAAATGCGTGATCTTCCTCTTGATGCCCTTCCCTTCATACGAGTCAAAGTAGGTTTTTCTGATGATTCATCCTTAGGTATGCGGACAACTTCAGACTGCGCTACTTCCGGATGTTCTCGACCTGTTTAAACTTCGAAGCTAGATCATTTTGTTGTGTTTCGGATCCTATCTCGTCAGAGCTTTCCTTCCGCTTTGTGATGTTAAGGCTTCTCGATGGATTGGATTCGGCTCTTGTGTTTCGAGATGAGGGTAAAAAATTCGGATGTTCAAGAGCATAGGAAGAAACCATTTTAGTACTCTTCGTCCCCGTCTCGTTTATCCATAAACCCCACAAGAGCAAACAGAATATTCTTCCTGCTGCTCCAATTCTCCAAGTTACTTCCTCATCGATGTAACCTTTTTTGTTCAGATGAGCTCCTAAATATATGAAATTATCCACGTGCTCTCCTCGTTCGTCCTTAATATTTTCAGTATTCTCCAGTATTTCTTTTCTATTCACTTGCATTTGTTCTTTCCAGGGTTGATTTTTTATATTTGTTGCAGTTATTTCTTCTTGGAGAACGTTCTTTTGGTCATTGACAGCAAGGAAAACAAGGACATCAGTGAATGCTAACCCGCAGAACTTTTGGGGTTTAAGGTCTTACAGCAGAAATTAGCTCATTCATGATATAGCTTTCTTTAGTGGCAGGTCACAGAACCCGAAGAGTTGCTGAATCAAACTAAAACCTACCGAAAATTTAATTTAGTCTCTAATTCTTGTGATATGTTGCTACCTCTCTCAAAAAGTTCCAGCTCTTTTCTTTTTTACTTTTAATGAAACATGTTTGGCTTCATACCGTATTAACATATATGATCAGTAGCGACAGATTTGATAGACCCAATGTCCTAGGGTTCCCACTAAAAGTTCCCAGGGTTTAGGGTGAAATCCCACTAAAATATGGTTTCCTCCAAAATTCATAATCCAATAAAAAAGTGCCCTCCCCCATTGAAAAATCCAAAGCTTTCTAAAAATGTGTCCTGCTAAAAATTTTGATGGCGTTATGCCACAGTCTTCTAGTCACACCTGAACAAATTCAAACAAAAGATTGTCAAACTCAACCAAGCATAGTTTACACCTTTACTAAATTTATTTTCTATTCATTGTCAATTAGATTTATGAAAATCAGCAGAAACTGCACCAAATTCAGAGGAATTGAAAAAAATCCCAAGTGATTTTTGTATGTTCCTACAAATTATTTTTCCAATAATAATCTACTTGTTTTGTTTAACTATTTCTGACATTGTCACTGACTTATTTACGTTATCACTGAAGTTCAATGATACCCAATGATTGCTTCCTCACTAATGAAGATAGGGAAGCTATGTATCCGTGCGATAAGTTAAAAATCTGTTTGTGCTCAGAACATTTCCACTCGCGTTTGACGTTTAAGACATCTAGGATTAAATTAAGTTCTGTGTCAGTCTGTAGTCAAATCAATATGACAGGCTTATAATCTACTACCGTTTATCCAATTATAGTGAATTAGGGATGGTCCAGGTTGGTGTCTAGATGAACCCATATCAATTTAATCAAATTCTACCCAATACTTCCTCTTACGCACGCGCAAAGTTGGATAAAAGGTATTATTGCCAAAATAAATTTTCTTGAATTCCGTCCACTACTATTGAATTGAATTACGTATGCGCAGACTAGTTTGCCTTAACACCTCTACATCTCTAAAACAAAATTTTCAATCTGGCTCAAATTTGGAGTAAAGTTATCTATCAATTTCATCATTACATTTAAAAAAGCACCTCCACTTTCGGATCAGCAAACGTATTATTTTCGACACGCCTGTTTCTTTTTTATTGTTTCTTTTGAAGCTCAGCCAACTCGTCGTGGTCTCGATTTCTTTTTTTAAATATCAAAGTTGCGTAAACTTCACTCATATTTTTATATACCACCTTAAATTAGTTTTTCCTAATTGATAGAAAATATTAGTCTACTTGGACACCGAACAAACAAAAAATTGAATTTTTTATTGTTTTTTGTTCCATTTTATTAGTAAAAACATAGCTATTAAGTATATATGCATCTTCAACATGTACTGTAATTTTTTTAATCACGAATAATCAAATACGCAAATTCGTGACCACTGATGAGCAAACCTCACAGATATGAAACCTGCGAATATTTCTGAAAACGTCTTCCCCCGATGATTTTATTCACAAACGAACAACTATAGACCTTGAAACATACACAATTGTTTAGCCAATGAAAATGGTGAGAAAGCTATATTGACCTAACTTCCACAGCCGTTTTTTATTTACGTACAAATATTTGATATTTATATTTGAAATGTGAAAAATAGAAAAATAACTTACAATTAGTAATGATATATCTTTTAACTTTTTAGGTTCAACGGCTCTTGAAAGACCTTCCAAAATAATAAAGAATGTCTTTTCACCTGCCTCTAATGGTAAGTATTATAAGTTTTTTTTTTTTACTCCTGATATAAATAAAACTAAATATAAAACTGTTTTAAATATGAATGCCCTAATAACTATGCATAAACTATGAATACCTATGAATAACTTAAAAAAAAATAATTAGGAATGTATTCGGAGGGAGAAACTTCTGAGTTAAAGTGCTATGGTTTGGAAGTAAGGGAATCATCATTCATTCTATAAGTGATTTCTTGTAGAAGCTCGGGGTTGGGAGTAGTGTTGCCCAAATGCGAGACCAAGACAAGTCTTGGTCTTGCGCACTCAGTCTTGGTGTTAGTTTTGCGTAAGAGTCTCGCAAGTCTTGCTGTTACCTATTAGGTTATTACTATAGAGATATTACTGTAATACTTTACATCGTAGAAACCTAACTAAGCCCAAATGAAATATATTAGAAGAGTTAAATGCAGTTAAAGTATTTTAGTTATACTAATCCTTTACATATAGTATATAAAATTGTCTAGTATTAATATTTTACTATTTTGCATTCCTTTTTATTCAAAAAATTTAATTTTTTTACCAGTATTGGTCTTGGTCTTGCAACAGTTAAGCGGTCTTGGCCTTGGTCTTGCCGATTTTGGGCAACGTTAGAAGGGAGATTGCACATACTTGCCTTCGCTTGTTCGTTTCTGTACACTGGTCTTTTAACATATTTGCTTTGGTCAAATGGTCCCCTACTTGATCATCTGATTTGATTTTAAATGTCTGTTGTACTGATGAGAATGCTGAGTGATTTAGCTACTCTACACAGTTGTGCTACACAACCATACAATATTATTATACTTTCCCAAAATTTTAAATAAGTTTTTGAAGCCTCATTTTTAAATCATGAAACATGATTAACAATTTAGATAAAAACCCTTTTTCTTCTCTTCCCCTCTCCTGCCCCTACTCGATTAGAAATGTTGATTATTGCATTTGTATAATATTCGTGCCATAGGTAATAACAGTGGATTCATCCAAATAATTAAATAAATAAATTCAACCAATAAGCAAAATAAAATAAAATAATAACCAGAGACTGTTTAGGTCAGCCAAACTCGGCTAATTTTAGTTAATTATACTCTATAAATGTAAATATTAAACTCTATAAAAATTAAAAATATTGTGCGTATGGGCGCATGTAGGAGATGGAACGGGATCTATCTATACATGGAGGGGGGAGGAGCTCCTCCTAAATAATTTGAAAGAAAATAAAGCATAATATAATACAAAAGGTTAGTAAAAAATAAATTAAAATTAATAAATAAAATTTATTTTCCGATTGGAATCGGCCTATATATCAAATGAATTCTTCTGTTGGAAATGTTGGTACTAGTGAGTTAGCCGGTCGCCACGGACTGATATCCGCCATTGTTTATAACCTGAGCTGGAGATGGATGATAGTCGATAGTTTTACACTATCGATTGTTCGATAGTATCGTTAAAAAACTATCGATGGTATCGATAGTTCAGTAACTTCCCTACACAGACTTAAAGAGGATTTATTTTCGCTGTATTCTTTAGTTATTTACTTTAAAATTCTGCATAAACTTTATAATAATTAACATTTATACTGGATAAATCCTTAAAGATTTTTGTTAAGGCACTAATAAAAATGATTAAATAAATAATTCAAAAATTTATAGATGGGAAAATACATTTATATAGAAAAATAAATTGCATTTATTTCCCTGATTATAGAATTCAAAAAAGAAACATCGACGACATATAGGAAGTATTTTTTTAAACTATTTAGTAAGAGAAAGGCGAGAAATGCGTGTCTTTTAATTTCCAAGATTCTATTTTTCTGAACTTATTTTGATAATATCACTTAGTTTAAAATATAATAAAACTGCAATGGCATCCTTGTATATTTTATAAATATATTTTTTTATGACAAAATAAATAAAATATGTGAGGTAAATGTTACATTTTTTTTCCATCGGCACATCTGAAGGTGTAAAAATATTTCTAAGAAAGTAATTTGAGATTAAATTAAATTAATTTTATACCATGAAGGCATCTTCTTGTTCAATTTTATTTCAGTTATTGAAAGAATAACGTTCAAACCTCCATCCATTAATTTTCTTAATGTGGCGTTTCCATTATTCAATAGCAATTTTCTATTATCAAGCATTTAACTTTTGCATTAGTATATTATCTCGTACATCAATGATGGGTTTAAATATGAAGGCGTGTTATAATTTGTGCCAAAGCGGAGGATACGAACTATCGATAGTCACTAAGAATATCTATAGGGATGTCAGAACATCTATAATGAAACGCTTGTCAGTTTCTGGACAAACTCCGCCAAACCTCCATTTTTCAGGTAGCACTCTCCCTGAGTATTTTTTTTCCTTTAGAGTATACTTCATACAAAAATTGTATTGTGTATATTTCATATTAAAATAGAAAGCAGAAATTCAACCTAACTAGTTAATACTTTTTAAAAAATGATCAGACAACAGACATCTGTATTTACTTCTTACACCAATACGGACTTTCTCTTACCTTTGATAGAGAAGAAGTATAAATAATTTTATATTAAGAGAGTATTTTTTTCTCATTCAATTTAGTTTTCTCAGGACCGACAACGATAATGGAAATTAATCTGTTAGCATCCAGAGCTTCGATGCATATCAATATTATCAAGATGGAAAATGTAAACATTTATACGCGTTGAGGGGAAAACAATTTGAAGTGATAAACCAGTTTGACACGATAGGTAAACTCGTTCTATCGGCTGAGTAATCAACCTTCTATAGGTGGCACCTTGAGATGTTCTTGCGCGATATACCAGTATTAGGAAGGTTAATCATCTCCTTCCTAGAACAGTTTTATATGATAAATTTAATTCTCAACAAAAGACACTGGATCATTTTCACCAAACCCTTTATACGTTCTTCGATAAAATTATGTTAACATTCAATTACACTTTAAAAAATAATAGGGTGAAAGCACCAATAGCTGACAGTGTACCAATCAATGCCTGACATCCTCCTTGGAAAGAGAGAATCAATTTATTATCAAAAAATGGTGCTGCCCAATTACATTGGGTTGCTAAAAACACAGCATACTTATTAATCACTACAGACAATTTTTAAAATAATATATAATTATATAGGATTAACTGTATTATTTAGGATTAATTGTATGAGCATAGTATACAATATTTTTATATATATGTATTATTATTTTTTTATATCCTTTTTTTTAACATTTAATTCCCCTTTCTCTCACTTCTCTCTCTTTATCTATATATTTTTTTCATTTACCCATTAAATAAATAATAAGATTTCAGGATCTTCTAGACCTCTATTTCATAAATTTTTGGTTATTGTATTTTCATCTTTTATATTTCCCTGTTCCGCTTTAATCTTGCCGGAAACCATAACCGAAATAATGAGTTGTAAATTAAGAAGATCCCTCCCGGTCCATTTAGTGTCCCGGGTAGTGTATCATCTATCAGTAAGGACACTATATCTCACAGGCGGATCTACGGAGGAGGGGGCTTTCGGGCTGAAGCCTTCTCTCTCCTTCCCTCCCTCCCCCCAAAAACGGTAAAATATAACCATGTTTTTAGAAAAAAATATTAAAAACCATCTCTTAAAGTATTATTGTTCGTGTAATTACATTTGATAGGACTTCAAGAATCACTTAAACACCATTTCAAACAGGTAGCTCATTTCTTTTCAAATTAATTATCGATATATATTTGAAAAAAAAAACTTTCGGGCTGAAGCCCCCCTCTAAAATTAAATCCTGGATCAGCTAGTGCTATATCTTGCCTTTTTCTCTTTACATACTTTCATTCAGAGGTGCCCAGAAAGGGGTTTCATGGCATAAGTTGCGCCATCAAAATTTTTGAGGAGGGCATATTTTTACGGGTTTTATAATTTTTTAGGCGGGCAAATTTCGACCGGGTTATGAATTTTCGTACGAAGGAACGGAAGGGAAATGGACAGGAGAAAACATGGTACAGAAATAGGATCTGCAATGTTTCCAATTCTACCTTAGCTTGATCTGTTTTTAAGAAAATGTGAGCAATAAAACAAAATATCTAGAGAAGAGAGGGGAAGATTCTTGCACTATAGATCTTGGGGGTATGGCACCCCTGGTTTCATTTATCCCAAAATTTATGTTTTATTTTTTCTTTCAGTGTTTTCAGATTATTTTTTCATCTGTTTTTAACTTATCTTGATAAATTGGAAATTTAATGGGTGAGGGCCTTTTGCCTGTATCCTCATAAATTAAAATAGATATGCTTAATATAAAGGATATTAAAAATAGGACCATTCACTATTCTTCGGTTAAAAAAATGCTAATATGTGGAGACGAGAAATATGATATATTTGGTGTAATAAAAATAGTTGCTCAGTGAAATTACAATATTGAAATACATTTTAGTAGACGAATAATTTTTTTTTTATGACTTGATAATGAGCTAATCAGCTTGAAACGTCGTTGGAAGTAAAATAAAAATTTGGTTGTATAAGAGCTTATATATGCCTTGAAGACACCATATATAAAAAAGAAAAAATGCTAGTGATTTGGATTAAATATAAAGCAAAAATAGGTTTTTCTACTGCCAAAAACGTGTTTCTGACATTGACATTGATAAATTTAACCCGGAAACGAAATGAAGTTAGTTTTATAATACGCAAAAGTTAATATCTATTTTAAAATTTCATATTTTTATTTCACATAATTACTTCCTTGTTCTCATCCCTGTCAGAAACATTCTTTATCAGTGTCAGCTTAAGGTACAACAAAACTATCTAAATTTACAATTTTTAAAACTTACGTTGATGTTACTGGATTTTAAATGTGTCTTGGCAAGATGAGAAGACACATTTATAAGATGAATCGAAGAAAAATACAATAACATCTAGGTTTTTACATGTAATAATTCAAAGAAATTTCCTTAAGCAAATCAGCTACTGGTGCATTTACCCTGTAAGGTTTTATTAAAGAAGGTATAGATTCATTTGTAAAAAAAATAAATAAAAGTTTAGAACAAGCATTATAGCTCTTCTTTTTGAAAATGCGTTGAGAAGTCCACCTCATCTCTTGGGTACTAGTAATGTATGGGTACCAGAGATGTCCGGAAGGGAGTTTGGTGACGCTACTTGGGCCATCAAAATTTTGGAGGGGGGTATATTTTGGTGGGTTTTTGAATTTTTGAAGGGGGCACATTTCGACTTGGTCATGAATTTTCGGAATGATAATTTTCATACTAAGCGAAAAAGTTAAAACATGACTGCAGCAAGTGTAATTGTATATGATCTACGAATTTTCTAATTCTAATTCACTTGCTCTGTTTTTTTGCTGTGAACTATAAAATATTTTGAGAGTGGGGGGATATATTCTTGCGCCATTGACCTTGGGGGGAGGGGATGTGCACCCTGGTTTATATTTTACTGGTGTGTAAGAATCTGTAGCAAAGCTTCTATGAAGGAATATCACGGGCAAAAAAAAAATATATTCCAGGTGGCAAGTATGAATTTTGTAAAACATGGATTATATCATTGACCAAAATTCCGCCTGATTTGTTTTTGTCTGGAGTTTAAGGGAAGAGAGTTATCAACTAACTGCTCCCAATTCATGAAGAGTGCCCTCTCTCCCCCGTAATGCTGGATCCTTCCGAAAATCCAAGAACGATACAAAAAAATTATCAGAGAGTCAAATGTAACTCACGGTCCTCGGTTTCAACTCCTCCCCAAAGAAGTTCCAAAGACTAAACTGTTCATGAAATGTTATAAAATTGAGTTTATGAAAAATATAATTGAGTTCCCCAGTAGATCAATCTATTTAAAAATTTTAATATTTAACAAAAAGAAACAGGTTGTTGATTGCTGTTTTCAACTAATGCAACAACAATATATTGCCTATTAAGGCTTCGGTAAACTCTTACGAGTTTATCTAACCTATACAAGATGTGTCTTTAATTACAACCCTTGTTCTTTACTCTGTGATAGAATCTTGGCAGGCCCCTTAGTCAGATACGATAAGCTCTTTGTCGTAATCTCATCTCTGCAATTTTTTATAATCATGATTTTTGAAATATGGTTTTACATCAAAACTCCTCGTTCTATTGTTTTCCCTATTAAAATAATTGGACTATAAGACGAAGAATAATGTCAAGTCGAAGCAATGAATGCCAGGTGTATTACCAAAACGATCAATAAGAAAATCTGTTGGAGGAAGACCCGGTGACCTTGAGAACAATTGGCAGCCATTCTTGGACGAAGAGCTCCGTGACATGTTTTATTCCCTTTAAGATGACTAAAACTGCTCCGGACTGAATAAATATATACAAGAGGTCAATCAATGGAGATCCTGATTTGCCGCATCTTCATCAATTACATTATTCAGAACAGCGATTGGTACTTGTGCAAATGGCAAGCCCACAATGCTAATTCGAAATGTTTATTCAAAGCCTGTTAAATATAAACTTTCGCTAGGTATAACCTTGATATTATCCAAGATGTAGTTATGGTTCCGTGCCGCTAAATCAACAAAGATAAGAGTTGTCATCTAACTAGTCCAAGAAGAGAAAGCCTTCACAGCCACTTTTGCATTGTCTCCATAAGGAGTGAGCCCGACTAGATCAAACCAAATTTTAAGACCCCCATGTATCCATTTTGATTTAATTCAGTTGTAGTTAAGCAAACGATTTTAATTTTTATATTAATACCACCAAAAATTCCAATCCAGAAAATAAAAAATCTGTGTTCCTCGTAATCCAAATGCTATATACTTTTCAGCTTGAACAAGACATGGTTAATTTCAGAAGAATCAAATAAATTAATAAATGAAATTTTATTATAGTTATCCCATTCCCAACCCCACATATATTATTACAGTAAAGCTCGAAATTGGTTTCTCAAATACCATGAATGGGGTACCGTTGGATTCAGAATTTCATGGGGGGTTAGCGAATCGTATTCTCCACTTTTGTTTTTCTTTCTAAAATAAATAAAGTCGATACAAACATTTTGCTAGGCTTCAATACTGGAACGGTGGTAGGTCTGTAGATCGATACGGGACAAATTGGAAGATTTTTATGCGTACAGCAAGACCCGGATAGTTCCTCTGGAACTATCGGATCCTGCTTTTTTAAGCCCAAAACTTATTATTTTCTAGATAACGCAAGGCATAGGGTTCGCATCCACACAACCTTACATTAATTGTAGTACTGTCATTGAATACATGTCTCATTCCGTCGACTTGAGGTCTCTATGATCGAGAGAGGAGGAGTTTATATTATTTATCGATTGTGTTTTCAATCGGCAAGCCATATCATCGTTAATTTTTCACCAAATCTTAAGATTGAGCCACCAATTTCCTACTCCTTCAGGCGGGCAAAATAGTCCAATCACCCCGAAAATACTTTTTCCTGGGTTATGCCCATAATTACATAAAGGATTACTAAATTTCCTACAAAAGGAAAAAAAAATCATCGAAATCGGACAGTTTTTAGCAATCTTACACCTTACTGAAATTTGTAAACATGTTGGTTCCAAACAAAAATGTAGATTTAAATTAATTTTTATTTTCTTTGTCGATTATATTTATCGATAAAGTAATATTTGATTTCTTAATCTTTTGATACGTTTCATTATTTTATTTTCTTATTAATTTGGCATTTGATAACTATATGCTGTGCGAATTTTTCGCACAGGCCTACTAGTTATTATTATTATTATATGTAGTTAATAACACAATCACGTATTTATCCGTCATGTAAATTTTAACTAGTTATGTTGAACATGTTTCAGATTCGTCAATACTGGATGCTCCGAAAAACATACTGCGGGACATCACAGGGACTGAAGGTAAGTGTTCTGAAATTATCATAAATATAAAATTAGTTTATTTACTTTTTAAGTAACAATGAGCCTTTTTTTTTTACAAGATTTTGTGTTGCCGCCTACAGGCATGACAGATAATGTCGCCCATCTCAGCGGTTCCTATCTCTAAAAACAATAATTTATTTATAATAAATAACTAAATTGAGATAATTATTATGATTATCTCTAAACTGAGTGAAACAATGCAAGGCTGAACTCATTGCTGATTTTAGAAACTTGTAATAAATAATAAATAATAGATATTAAACTCAATATAGATTATATTATTTTTCACGCTGGATCTGATTTGATATATCAAGAAAACAAATTATTTAACGATTGATTAATTACTAGTGGTTGCTGCTGGTAAGCTTGCAATCTATTACCATCTATTACCATGTTAGAGATTTTTAATATATAATCGAAGTTTATTTATTTTATTTTTTTCTGCAATCCTGATATATGATAAAGAGAAAAAATAAATAAAAGAGGATAATTGTTGAATGGAAAAGTACTAGCCTAGAATAGTTCAATGTTGCCTCCATTAATACGTTAAGGTGCGTGTTGTCTAGAGTGAATAAAATATGTAAATTATCAATCCAGGTGTTTGCGGTTTGTAAATATTATTGACAGCTTTTATTGTTTAAACAGTTTGTTAAGAGCGTCTTAACATGTGCGAAAGCAAATGTGTTCCAATCCCATTGTTTCTGTATAAACGAACTGAACAAAAACAATGAAGAGATGTCTTGAATTGATTTATGATTGTTTTAAATTTGAGTCTTGGGTCTGATCGATCGCTTGACTGTATTATTTAAAAATTTCCAGTTTTACAGTTTTTATTTTAATAATAATAATAAAAGGCTTAGCGAACCCAAAGGTTCGATATCGAGACCACTAATCTCAGTTAACAAACCCCCTACACCCGCCTTCCAAATCCAGATCCGCAAGATCACCCTTGACGCTATCTTCCTACCTTCTTTTCGGTCTACCCTAGACCCATACCAGTCGGCACAGTGAATTCTTTGCAGGGAGTCTTTCGTTTCCAAGCCCAATAATTTTACACCCTCATTTTGTTCACCTCAATTATATTAACCGGATGCAGTTCACACAATTCAGCGTCGTGTAAGCGTCTAAATTCTACGGCCAAATTATCCTTTGGTCCGAATATTATATGCAATTCTTTATTTTCAAAAACCTTAAGAAATTGCTGAATTTTTAATGTAAGCGGCCACGTTTCGCATCCATAAAGAACCGAAGGCAGGATAATGGTTTGCAAATTCTACTTTGTACAGGACAGGAGGCGCGAAATAAATAGTTTTCTCACAGAAAAAAATTGTATACTTTAAATAAATATTTTAATATATACACAAATTTAGCTTTTAATCTGTACATATTTTAAATATAAAGTTAAAATGACGAACGGACTTGAAAAGACGATACATTACAAATGATATTCATTATTTTCCTTTAATAAACTTACTACCAATACTGTTTTGAGGAATTCGAATAACTATTAAGAAATTTTAACTATTAAGAACTATTCAACTATTTTTTTTTTAAACAAGATAAGTGTCACTTCACTTTGACTAATGGTCCAAGATCGCACAATCACTCTATAAATGGAATTCCCAGAATAGCTGAAGATTGACAACCTGGTCACAGTGTGGCCTGAGCCATTTAAGACTTCAGCGAACTCCCTACTGGTCCTTTTCAGTTAAAATCGGGCCATTGATTACTTGTAATTACATTGTTGCTTTAGACATCCACTCCCTACACTCACTTAAAAGGATTACATAAACTCCCATAAGGGATTTTCAGTTAAATGTGTGTGTAAAAATCACTTTCCACACATCATTTATGGTGTGATCATGAGATCTAGGGCCATCACCAAAGTGGAGTGACATTTATAGAGTACATTTTTTTTTTTAATAATGCTACAATTAAATAATAATACACTAAATAATTATTTCAAATCATTGCTTTTAAAGTGGAAAAAAAAAAGTAAAATTTTGTATATTTTATCACTGAATATAATGAATTTTAATTTACCATTTTTAAATTATCCGATCTCAAAAGAGGGTAATTTAATTATTTTAGACTATGTTTTGTTTGCTATTGAGTATGATACCTGGACCATTACTTTAAGAAAAGAATTCAATTCATCTGGTTATATATTTTTTTATTTAAGGAACATGGATTTCTATGTTATTTCATTAAACAGAAATCCTTCTAAATATTGCATCTGTCTTAGTAAACAAATGTATATTTCAGTCGTAAAGAATATCAATAATCATTGTAAATCAACTTTAAAGTTTATTTATGAATTTCATTATCTTTTTTTTTCTTCTTCTTTTCTCTCACCCCTAGCTTTTGTTATTTCTTCTTTATAAGTATAATTAAGAGTATATTTACAAACAATTAACAAAAATGAAAATAATCTGAAATTTAAAATATTTTAATTTTTTTTTATTATGGACTTTTCTTCTATTGTGATTGTCCTTGACCTAAACATCCTATAAGATATTTTTCCACCCTTCTCTACCTGAGGCTTGTTCTTCTCTGACGCCATGACCTGCCAGGCTTTCTTCCACTGCTTTCCATTTTACCCTTGGTCCCTTTTTCCTTCTCCCTTCTACTTCCATCTCCATACATATCTTTGACAATCCTTCAGGCGTCATTCTTTTCACATGTTCAAACCAGCATAACCTTTCCTTTTCAATATTTGCTATAATGTTTGTTTGCACCTTCATCATTTCCAGAATTCTTTCATTTTTGATTCTTCTAGATTTTCTTGCTACCCTTCTTCAAAAGTCATTTCTACTGCTAACAGTCTTTTTCGGTGTCTTGCATTGATGACCCATGTCTCCGAGGCATATATCGTTATTGGCTTGAATATAGCCTTGTATATTAGCTTTTTGTACTTGGCTGTATATTTAAGCTCCAAAGGATACTATTGAGTATTGCTGTGACCTTTCTTCATTCACCAATTCATCTGTTGATACCATTGATGGATGTGCCTTCTCTATAAAATATTGAACCTAGTTATTTAAATTTCTCTACAGTTTTCATACTTCTTTGAATTGGCGTGTCATCAGATGAAGTGCCAAGGTGCTCTGTTTTCATGAAGTTAATAGTGAACCCTCACTTTTCATAATTCTTGACAACCTTTCTGAACATATAATTGATGTCCAGGTCATCAGCAAACAAATATTTTAATAATAACAAAATTTTCACAAACAGTAAAATTGTATATATATATATACATCATCGTATATATATTTATGATATATTTTGTGTTCCATCAGAAGAAAGCAAAGTCTGCTATAACAGGCTCGGATGCTTTTCTCTGAATGATCCTTGGACTTCGTTGATCAGGCCGCTCCCCGCCCCATGGAGTCCAACAGAGATTTCACCAAATGTGATGTTAATTACAAGGTAAATAATAATTGAGAATTATTGCTTATTTAGCCTCTAAGTAAATGTTAACAACCATTAATATTATTACGCATCTGAAGTAACAGGGTGTATAAAAAAATGACCATATTATTATTTCTTTGATATAAAATACAATTAATACTCAAAGTATAGTCCATTATTATCTACCGTCATTAGCCATCTGCTAGCCAATTGCTTGACGACATTTCTGGATCCATTTTAATATCCAATCTTCAGACCAGAACAAGAAACATTTATATTATTTGTATTTATATTTTTAAATGCATATATTACTATAACGTATTACATCAATAACTGATTGCCAATCTTACCCGTTCATCATTTTTCCATCATAAAAGACCTGTCAAATATTTTGTTATTATAAATTATACCTAAAAATGCAATCATTTTTTCGATATTATTAGTATATGTATTTAGTTTCATATATTCTGTTATAAATTAATTAATTCACCTTAAATATATAATGTACTCTTCTCTAAGGTGAGCCCAGTCAAACACTGATCTAATTTATGTGTTAGGGGTCAAATTCCAAGAGGTTTTGTTATTTCATACATTTAATCTATTAATTATGTTAGCATAATTTCAATTTTATGTTTACTTCGATTTAAATAATTATTAAAATCATCCATAAAGATCTTAATGTTCCATATGTTTCCGATTTGGCCCAATCCAGATACCTATCCTTCCATAACAAACTGCAGAACCATCCGAATCCTCTCGTTTCAAACCTTGCTTCCTCCTCGATCCCTGATAATCCTCCGAGGCGTCTGAAAAGAAGATGGCCTCGGAACCTTCTAATATAGAACTTTAATTTGAGTTCTACCAATGGGTAGTTTCTCTTCATGTTGTACATGTCATGCTACCAATGTCACATTTACTTATTGTATGTTCCATGTAATACAGTTGTAAATCTCAATAAAATAAAATAAAATTATTGATTTCAAGATTAATTTTATTTCTAATGCATATTAATAAAGGAAAATTATAGGAGAGTTACTGTATTTAGTTTTTCATATACCTTATATAAAAAACATCTCCCTGAAGAATTATGAACAAATTTAATAACATTTTTTCAAATTATTATTTTTTTTTTTACTAAATAAATTGAAGGCAATAAAAAAGAATTATGAAAGTTGACAACAATGGTTAAATTACATATTTTAGTTCATTTTATTGTTGTAATACTAAACAACTTTTTAACAGAAACGCAGGCGAGCCCTACAACATATCCCTAAACAGCGAAGAATTTTCCATGGAAGGCTGCGATTTCAATCCAAATCGACCTGCTACTGTAGTCATAACCCATGGTTTCGCAAACAGAGGAGACGCGAAATGGCTATCTGAAATGGTTGAAGCGTATTTAAAAAATGTAAGTACTATTTATACAATTAACATAATAAAACTAATATACAGTCATTGACACAGATTAAAATTAATTTAGATTTTAATAAATGTTTTATATGATCTCACACTCAATCTCTAGCAATAAGTATATCACTTAGTACTTGAGATGTTTGACTACTTATTACTTCTGGATGGTTTTGTCTTTTTTGTGTATGGCATTGGATTTGTCTAAACCATCTCACTCAACAGTCTCTCACACTTCAAGTGGGAATCTAAATGGCTCCTTGAAAAGTAGGAAGGAGCGAAAATATTCCCCCATATTTTTTTTATCTTGAACAAAATGCCAACTGTTTATTATCCTCCAATAAATATAATAATTCATTTTTTCATGTAATTAATTTGAAGTTTCGAAATAAAAGAGGGTCATTGTAAAACAAATAAAAATTTATACATATATTTTTTTAAATATGCAGGGTGTCCCGTAAGTAGAGGGAAATATTTAAAAGGTAGACATCCAGATCTACAAAAAAGTTGATATAAACAATTGCCCAATTTCTAGCAGAAATTAGGAAATTTAAGATTTGTGTTTTTTTAAGCGAGCCATTTTTCTTGTTAAATAGAAAGCGATAACTTAAAAAATATTTGATTTAAGTAAACATTGCTTCATAGTAAAGTAGGCAAGTTTTACTTAGAATTTGCCATTGTTAAAACTATTTAAAGAGGACTTTGAGCAGCTAAACACAGCTAAGTTCCGTTTTAAAAAAAAAGTCATAAATTATTCGTGATTTTTTTTTTGTCACCCTTCAGCTATACTACATTAACACCACTTTTACAAAAATTGTTATTTTTAATTTTTATAAATAAAATGTGTTTTTATGCAATTATGTTTATTACAATACATCCCATAACACGGGAAAACAAGAAATAAAAGCTCTGCAACAGTTAATTTTAGTAATTTTTGCTGAAAGCAGAGTACATTTAGGTGGCTGGATAGAAAATCACATCATTTCTCTATACAACTTGAGATGAATCTCAAAATTTGTCCTAATAAACCTCAACTTAAATAACATGGACATAAGCTTATTCAACGTTTTTAATTAATTAAAATTAAAGAAGTTTTTCTGAAAGTGAAGTATCTGTACTATATTTGGATGATGATAAAAAAAAAATACTGAATAATTTATAATTTTTTTAAAAATAGAACTTAGCCTGGTTTAGTCGCTCAAAAGTACTCTTTAAATAGTTTTAACAATGTCTAATTCTAATTTAATTTTATATAAATTTTGTCTAGTTTACTATGGAGCAATGTTAAATCAAATATTTTTTAAGTTGTCTCTTTCTATTCAAACAAAAACGTGATCCACTTAAAAAAAACACAAATCTTAAATTTCCTAATTTCTGATAGAAATTGGACAATTGTTCATATAAACTTTTTTTGTAGATCTGGACGTCTACTATAACCTATTTAAATATTTCCCTCTACTTACTGGACACCCTGTATACTCAGGTCTGTGACCTATGAGATCGGTAGTAGTTAACTGGAGTTTGGTTTATTTCAATTAAACCAAAAGGAAAATGTTTCATCCTAATTATTTCAAAATAGATTAAATCCTGATCAAAGGTTGAATGATATAAACTAATTTAATAAAAAAAATATATATAATACGTAATATACTCTTAATTGCCCTAGTGCATAATTACAACAATTTCCCACGATCAAATGTATTTACCTTGTTGTAAATCATATAATATGATTATTAATAGATTTTATTTTATATTTAGGCCACTTATTTTATGAGCAAGAGTTGTAAGTGATCCTAGGTTTATAAAAGAAGGTATCTATTTGAAACATTTTAAAAAAGAAACAGTTAATTTCTAAATGATTATTATCTCATTGGAAACTGTAACAGAGAATAAGGATGAAATTTGGTTTCTCACATATAATTACAGAGCATATCCTTTTTTTTTTTAAATTATGCATCTCATCTGTTAATATATTATTAATTTATTTTATTTTTATCAACGATTGGGGCTACTCGCCTGTCAGTTACACCGTAGTCGCAAAGTAATCCCATATTACGGTATAAATATTATATATATATATATATATACAAAAAATACAAGAAGCAGTTGAAAGAATTCATTAATTGTATAAAATTACAACATAACATTCCAGCATAGAACTTTTATTTAATATACTTTTGAGGATAACAATTAAAAATAAATAATAATGTTTTAGACTTAGTGTAGCTCAGACTTATGTTTTTTATTCCTTGTTTTGTAAAATTTGTTTGTTCTCCACATAACGTTTTTATTTTTTTGCCTAATTATTTATATCATTCAATGTTTGTTTACATTTTCAGGTAGACGCCAATGCATTCATATTAGACTGGGGAGATGGAGCGACTATAACTAACTACCTACAAGTTGCTTCAAATACAAGAATTGTCGGGGCCAGCTGTGCAAGGTTTTAATTTCTTAAGATTTTTGTCCATTTTCAGATATTTGATTTAAAATTGCTTGAGCCAATATCATATAATTATATTTAATATGGTTGTTTGTTGCAGATTTCTGAGGCACCTCATTAGTAAAGGTCTTGAGCCAAAAAAAATACATCTCATGGGGCATAGCTTAGGTTCCCATATAATGTCTTATTGTGCTAAAAATATTTCCGAAATCTCAAAAATCAACAGGCTTACAGGTAATTATTTTTTCTTTTAAATTATGATTAAAACTTCAAAAAAGGGAAACTAAAAAGAACGTACAAAAATATGCTGTAGTAAGAGAAACATAGCCAAAGGATGCATCATGTTTTCTTATGAAACTATGATCACTTCATTTCCAAATTTTGTTAGCCTTATACTTTTATTTTATGGTGTTTGAGCAATGGAAGTGTCCTCCGTAAGTCTTTCGGCTTGTCCTAATTGTTTTAAAATCAGTTGTGTTGGGTCAACAAGACACATCTGTAAATGTTTTGTTGATATATAAGTCTTTATCTAGCATTTTGCTATTACTTACCAAGTCACAAGGTTTAATCTTCATTGAGAATTGGGATTTTTCTCTGCCCTGGCATATGAGGACATAGTAGTGGATCCAGGATTTAATTTTGGGGAAGCTTCAGCCTTAAAGCTTTATATATATATATATATATATATATATATATATATATATAGAGAGAGAGAGAGAGAGAGAGAGAGAGAGAGAGAGAGCGAGAGATCATTACTTTAGAAGAAGAATAAAGAAACTAAATACCTACATGAAATGGTGTTTAAATGATTCTTGAAATCTTATTAAATATAATTATATGAATAATAATACTTTTAGAGATAACTTTTTCTTTTTTTTTCTTAAGACATGGTTATATCTTACCATTTTGGGGAACTTCAACCCGAAAGCTTCTCCCCCACCCTTCCATAGATCCTCCTGTCTGAGGACATGCAAACCTCAATGCTCAATGCAATTTTAAATGGCTTGCAAGAAAATATATATAAAGCAGTCTAGATAATGTTTGAGTGTCTTATAAAGTGTTCTCTTTATATATTTTGATTCAAAAAGCTAAATAAAATGTTTTAGCGCTTGATCCAGCACAACCAGGATTCGAAGGAACTCCTTCGAAGGTAAGACTTGCTTCAACTGATGCAGAAGAAGTAGATGTTATACACACAGATGCCAAACCATTTTTACCTTTTTTCGGATTCGGAATGCTGTCACCTGTCGGTATGGTATTTTTTCAAAAAATCTGTTGTTATAAGTATAATCTATCTTTATATTGTAATATTTTCAAAATTAAATGTGTCTCTTACCATATTGATTGAAACTCTTTCCAAAGAATATTTACCTCCCTATTAATTCTATTGCAATTGTAATTCTTTCCATTTTATAAGTAATTAAAATGTTAATATCTGCAGAATTGAATACCTTAAAAATTTGAATTTATGTGATTAACTATACTATAACTATAAAAAAAAATATTTTTTAGTTTTGATCAAGGTGATTAAAGTGATTCATACTTTCCACTTCAAAGATAGGTAAAAAAAAACCAAGAGTGTCGTGTATTTTTATTTTTGAGATAGAGCTGCCGAAGTTATCAGATCTTTATTCCTTTATAATTTCTCTTCTTTTTAACCTGTATTTATTTTTAACTGAAGATCTAAATTAAAGGTACCGTTGATTTCTATATGAATGGAGGTTCTTCTCAGCCCGGTTGTCTCCAAATAGCTAAGCCAAACATAACTGGTATTGCAGATCTCGTGAAGTACCCCGTTGAAGGTAATACATTTCAGTTTCAATAATTTTCAATGTCAATAATTCAAATGGAAAAGAATTTGTTAATTTAATTTTATTATTATTTAATTCTATTTAAGTTATTGCCGACTTAATTGGCTGTTCACATGGAAGAGCTTACGAATTCTACACTGCTGCTTTGAACGAAAAGAATTGTTCTTTTTGTGGAAGGAAAATGATGGCTACTGAGACCTTTTTAAAGTTAGTAAATTATTATTGTAATTTTTATATCTTCCTCAGTTTTTTTAACAAACTAAAATTTAGGAATTGATGAGAAGTTTGTTAGGGTGTTCAGTTGAATATAAACAAATTAAAAATAAATAAATTATTTTTATTTTCATTTATCATTTATTTATTTTTAATTTGTTTGTTTTTGACTGAGTACCCCAACCAACTTCTCTTAAATTATTCACTACAGTCAACCAACAGAACACTATTTAAATTTAGGAATTTGCTTATTTCGTAAGACATTACTACCAAGGGAAATGTTCCTACAAAAGTTTGAGAAAATCAGGTTTCCTACAAAACTTTCTATGGCCAAAAAGCATTCATAATATTTTATATATTCATTATAATATCTTTACATATTATACATAACTCTAATTTTCTTAGAAGCAGTTTTATACTGATATTCCCTATGCCCTACCTATAATTAATATAACAATTTTAAATTTTGTTTTTATCCTGCAGTAAAAAAAAACATTTTCAAATTCATTATAAATTCTGTCAATAAATGTGCCCTTTGCTCTTATAAATCTAGCAGATAATTAACTCTAATAAAAATTTTAAGAACTTGAGTGTTCAATGTGATCAGTTGTGTTACAGATGAGCAAGCAAAAGCGTATAAAGGGTGCTGAACTGTTCCCTCTGTTTAAAAACAATAAAGTCAATGAAAACTTCATAAATCAATAAAATCCTCATCATAAATTTTTGCAACTAATAATAAAAGACCCTAGCTATTACTTCTCAAAAAAGCATTTGAACAATGTTACGTTGGGGTAAAGCAGACTCAAGAGGAAACTAAGTTCTTAATAATTAAAACTGAATTTTCAAAGATTGATGAATTTGAAAATACATTGATAGTTGGAGAAGATATAGACCTATTTGTAATGACCTAGATAAAACATTATTATAAAAACTTTGTTTTTCTCATAAAACTAGACGAGATTGCAGATCTCTTGTTTCCTACAAAATTGTTTTACACAGCTGAAGATATTCTTATATTTCATGAATTAAGCGGCTGCAATTCCAAATCCTGTTATTATGGCCAAGTCAAAATAAAATATGTAACTTCAGTCTTGCCTGGTTGTACCCAACTCAAGACACAGACAAAGGGATTCGGTATATGCCAGTCCAGTTATAACCTCTTTTTTTTTTTCTATTTCTCTCCTTTCTTGCCTTTTCCATTATAAGTGATTTTTCCTGGGCCAGATGCCAGAGTTAAAAGTTCTCCCGGCACTGGGATTTGAACTCATAATCTTAGGTTTATCAGGTTGCCAGGCAGCACGTGTTTTACGCATGAGTTAGCTTGCTCAGGCACCCCTCTCCCCTCCCACTAGCTATGGTCTATGGTTTTAGGCTCATTTAAACTAAAGTCTACCTGCAAAAAAAAATCTTTTATCCAACCTATTGCAAAATAAGATGTTCACTTCTCCTTTACTAAATCAAACATGTCAGCTACCCCTACATATAAAAAATAGATACAGCTGGAACACTGTATATCAATCTTCCATTTATCAATAATCTCCATTTTTACAATTGAACATTTTTAGGAACCAGGAATTTTTCTTAACTTGAAATATTCTGTACATCGAATTATAATTCATATTTAAAAAATACAATATGTAATTGTGATCAATGAAGACCATCACGTCCATAAAATTGATTAATAATTAAACAAGAAACAAAATTATCCTGAATGTACACAAACATTGCTGTTCAGTAATTAAAATATTTGAAAGTTCTGAAAAAGATCGGAAACTATTTGAATTCTTAATGTTAAGTAAAATCAATGAACCGGTATTGAAAAATAATACATAGGGGCTGCTAAGAAATTTTTTTTTTATCATATTCCTATTGGACTACAGATTTCCCAATTTTAGAAAAACATTCCTGTTTAATAGGCTTCAAGTCCATGTTAGTTAAGTTTTAGTTTGTAACAGAATAAGCTAAGGTTCTCCTCCATGTTAGTAAAAAGAAATATGTGATGTGGAAACTTGTTTCCACTAAATACTAGTGTTTTCAGCAAAAATAAGTACAACAACCTATTAAAACCATAAATGACTTTTTTTTGGTAGGAGAGAGGGGTTATTCTACAGGTATATACCAACCTTTTCTAACCAGAATTGGAAGATGGATATTCTTCCGTGATTCCATCACAAAAAATATTTCAAACTGGCATCGCTAGTCTCGAAGTTGTTAAACTTGTGACTCCTCAACACTCTATAACTATCTAAACAAACATAATTTTGTTGATTTTTTTTTGTTGGGCAAATAAGGTGTGGAATCATCCTGATCACTTGATCCCGATACTCCCTGTGTATTATGTTTTTCAGGCATTTAACCATCTAAAAAAAAATAAGTCATCTTCTGTCCTAGTTACCTTGTTCCAACTATTGTTTTCAACCAGAAAAAGAAAACAAAAAACATTGTATGCTAATATCTGTAAAAATAAATAAATATTCATCCAGATGTTATGTTGCTGTTTTAGGGTCTCTACTCTTGGAACTTTGAGATTGGCAGATCCTGTTGTAAAAGAATTGACCAGCTGCAACCGAGATACGTGTACTTTTGTAGGTTTAGATACATTTGAATATCCAGCTAGAGGAAGTTTTGCTGTCACAACAAGTGGTGATCCTCCTTATTGCGGTAAATTTCAGCTTATAATTATATATTTTACAGATATATTAGTGTTATAATAAGTGTTATAAGATTATTTTTAACAAATATTAACTCGATAATTTTAATCTATGAAAAGAGTTGGTAGGTAAATTATGAATAATAATATCAATACAAATATTATTGATAGTTATTAAAATATAAATTAAAAATATTGATATTTTCGGTCTAAATGTTTTTAATCTTTGAAAAGAGGAGACGATTAACATTGAACTGAAGATTTGTAATACCTTTAACAGAAACAATTAAATATTTATGTGATACTTATCAAGGAGAAAAAGTTCAATTAACATTAATAGATACTTTTTTTGACAAATTTTCTAAAAAAAAAAAATTATAATCAGGAACTAAAAAAAACAAGTCAATTGAAATGCTTAAACATAAATAAAAAGATTATACAAAGAAAATTAAGACATGATAGAATGAAGAAAATAAATATTGAATGAATTGCTAAAGATCTATAAAATTATTAACATTTATTATTAATAAAATATAGAAAAAAAAATTATTGAAATTATTCAACATAAGAAAATAAAAATTCAATTCATAATGATTGAAACCTATAAAAAAAAAATTTAAATTCATTATAAACAAAAAAAGGAAAAAATAAAACTGTTTTAACATATTTATATCTTGTGTGAAAATAGATCATCTTTCTAGATTGTTAAATTTTTGACAATCAAAATTTAATATAAATATATAAAATACTAGACAAAAATATTGATTTTGTTTTTAAAATATTAATGTTTTTCCAACATCCCTAATATAGAGTATGTTTATATTATTATTGCTTTATGTGGAACAAGTATCTCTGTATTACCAGATGGAAACAAATCTTTTTAGTTATTTGTTCAGGCAGTGTATTAGTATGTAAAGTACTGAATTCCCAACTCCAGAACGTGCAATTCCGTCTTGAATGTTTTTTTTTCTATTTTTATTAAATCCCCTAGGGTACAATCAGTCTCAGGAAATTTATACGTTTATCTTCATTTATTATTATTAGCCTGGTGTATAACCTCCTTATATAGCCATTAGCCAAGAAGCTAGAGCAGGAATTACGATTTTTACCAGAAAGTGCAAGTTTAATTTTGCTGCCGCTCCTTTCAGCTCCCACTTTCTTATAATAAAAGTCAATATTTTTGGTAATACATTTTTAAATTAAGGTCGAATATTTAATAGTTGACCGTTGCATTATAAAGGAAGGAGATGGTCCGGGGTTGCAGTCATAAATAGGCTAAATAGTGGTAAAACTATTTTATTGAAAGCCGACGTTTCGATCCGACTTTGCAGGTCTTCTTCAGGGCTAGAACGGACAAGATACAAAAAGATTGAGAATTGTGGCAGTTACATAATATTTAGACATAATTTATAAACAATGAGCTTATATAATATTAATAAGCTTATTAAAATTATAAACAGTAAGTACAATAAAATATGCTTTGTTAAAATATGCTCTACAATAAAATATACTTTGTTCATATTTTATTGTTCTTACTGTTTATAATTTTAATAAGCTTATTCACATTGCTTATAAATTATGTTTAAATATTATGTAACTGTCACAATTCTCTATCTTTTTGTATCTTGTCCGTTCTAGCCCTGAAGAAGACCTACAAAGTCGGGTCGAAATGTCGGCTTTCAATAAAATATTTTTACCACTATTTAGCCTATTTATGACCGCAACCCTGGACTATCTCCTTCCTTTAAATTAATGTCATCACCACGTAACACTAATTCAGTTTAATGGCTGAATAAAGGGAAAAACAACTAAATGTTTTTTATTTAAGTTAATAAAATGTTCGAAACTATCAGCTCTCTAAATCCATGTTAGGTAGTTGGCATGGATAGATTTCTCTCTGAACCTCAATCTTTTGGATTGCTTGGATTTGGAGATTGTTTTCTTTCATTAAAAATTTATTATGTTATTTTTTCTTTCAGATTTATTTTCAGTTTTTTTTTGTTTTTTTATTTATTTTTAATTTATTGTTAAGTTATCAGAGTGATATGAACGAATTAATATAAATAAATCTCTACTATTTAGCTTTTATTAAAATATATTTGGATAAATCCTCAGATTATAATTTTCATGCTTATTAAGTTATATTTAAAGCAATAATAATTAATAGTGATTTTTCCTGTGTATAATTTGAGGTATTTTTAAAATATTTTCCAGAGGTGAGAGGTGACGAAAGCAAAAAATTGAGAGATACTATGACATCAGGTGTCCGTAACTTCGCATCCAGAGTAGTCAGTTACGTTGGCAAAAAATTTAAGTCTTTTTTTTAATATAATAATGTGAGTAAACTGATGAGGACCTGAATAAAAAGCTTTATATTGATTTTTTTTAGAATTGTTGAATAAACATTTAAACATATTTATTCAGTTTTTTTTCCTCTTACTTCTAATTACTAAAATTCAACCATCGATAGATTCTTTGTTATTATATTCTGGTTTATTTTATATCAATCCTCATGATCATAAACAATAAACAAATTTGAAAAAAAAATAGCCAAGCATCTTATCTGATATATACCAAAAAGCAGATAAGATGCCAAAACTGAAGAAAAATATCTGTTGGCATACCTCCTTTGCTCTAGTTTCTAGATGTTCTTGCGTTTTAACTCCTGACCTTGTTTAGTCTCAAAAGATGGAGTTGTCTGTAAGTCTATTCCTTCTAAATGATCTAAGTCCATTTTGTGTATTTTATTTTTATTTTTTTTTAACTTTCTTTATTGAATATTAATACATTCTGCCACATTGAAGGGCATTAATATTAAGGCTACATGATTCATTCACACAATATGTACATACAATTAATATCAATAATAAAGAGAAAGAAATATAAAAAAAAAAAATAAAATAAGTAAATTGGTATGCCTGTGTACAAAAAAAAATAATGAAATAACAGATAAAAGCTAGATGAAATTAAAGTAAATAAATTACATTCACACCTATGTACAATATTTACATTCACCCAGGGGACTCTGTGTCATGCCTTATTCTCCGACGTGGAAGCCAAGGCAGGACTCAAGGAGATCCCAGTGCTTCTCTCTCAGCCGCATCACTGTTATTTGAAACCAGTGGAAACTGATGGAGGGCACTATAGCAACAGACGCTCATGTCTTGAGTGGAGAATCTGGCCATTGCCAGTACTCCAATATATACATATGTGTATTTTATTAATTTCTCTAATCCTATTTTAGTTTTCTGTTATCTTCTGAATCTAATATTTTTTCTGTATATTTATTTTTGTTATTCTACAGTGAATTATAATGTTTGGTAAATTCTTTGTCTGTTTTTAATACGTATTTTATAATACATAAATTATTATTTTTACGATGCTGCAACTCCATTTCATCTAAATATTTCCTTATCCTACATGATTCATTTTATTACTGATACTAATCAATTACAGCTGAGGAACTGTTCAAGATTATTGAAAATATTCTTTGATTTTAGCAGTATCATATCTAACATATCATTTTATTTTGACATATCTAACCCGGAAATGCTTGGTTATAAGTAACAAAAGATCCTCCTTGAATTGTATTTTTCAAGACAAGATTTGATACATTATTGTATTGTCAAAGGAATTGTTAAATTGAGGACATAATACCAGATGAAATCAGAAGTCTTCCGAAATTTTTACTATTGATACCAGAGATATATTAGAAAAATCTGCATATGGTGCATTATCTAAGTGTAGAAAAAAAATTGTACTTTTAAAAAATTATAAATAACGGTGGTTATCATATATATTGGTGGTTATTATATATGTAAATTATACATATCGCTGTGTGCCTGCCGAAGACTTTATCTCCCTCATTGGACAAAAATAAAATTAATCTGGGGAGAAAGATGTCTGCGGAAATAAACTGAGGGAAATTAAAAGTAATGTCTCTGCATGGAAATCTTCATGCCGAAATAGGTGAAGAGAGGAGGTAGTTTTGGAGAGGTTGCATATATGCCACACACATCTGACTCACTGTTACCTGATAGCCCACAAAACTCCAACTAAATGCCATACCTGTGGATGTCCACTAACTGTGAAACACCTTCTAACAGAATGCAGATCAAATTAAAATGAAAGATCACTCTTCGATATCCCTCGAAATATTTATTCCACTTAAATGGACAATGAGCTGATGACAGACAGACTTTTTGACTTTCTAAGATAGACAGAGATATTCTACAAAATTTAAAATTTAACCATTGACGCAAGGCGATAATTACCCTAGCGGTTGACGCCTTTATAACAAAATGAATTATAAATGTTTAAAATCTTTGGTCACTTTTAGTTATCAAATATTTAGTTTTCATATTGTTTAAAAATTTCCATGTTTAATCTTATGTTTCTCAAAATTAAATTTAAAAATTATTGTTTTTGTAAAAATAAGATAGTTTCTTATAGCTATCTGAAAAAAAAAAAATGTTACACTTAGATCAATGATACATCAGATACAACAGATACATCAGATACAAAAGATACATCAGTTGACAAAACAAAATTTAAGTGATTTATAATGAAGAGAAGATTATTTGGGGTGGTCAGTCAAAAAAGAAGGCAAAAATAAATGATAATATTTATTTTTACATATGCCGACGTTTCGACCTGAAGTTCAGGCCTTCATCAGGGCTAAGAAAATAACCAGATAACAAGGTATGAGAAACATAAGTAGTGATGGTAAAAAAAAATAAATAAATAAAAAATTATAAAAAAAATAAATAAATATAAAGTAAAATGAAATTGTTAGAATAATGACAATAGTAAGAACTAAGAGATAAATAATAATAACCGTTACAAAGTGTGGAATGATGAAGTAGGCATAATCAAAAAGAGTGACATCTTAGAATAAAATGTAAAACATAAAAAAGAAATATGAAGTTATATAAGAAATGAAAATAAATAGTAAAATTACACCCTTTTTGATTATGCCTACTTCATCATTCCACACTTTGTAACGGTTATTATTATTTATCTCTTAGTTCTTACTATTGTCATTATTCTAACAATTTCATTTTACTTTATATTTATTTTATTTTTTTTTATAATTTTTTATTTATTTATTTTTTTTTTTTTTACCATCACTACTTATGTTTCTCATACCTTGTTATCTGGTTATTTTCTTAGCCCTGATGAAGGCCTGAACTTCAGGTCGAAACGTCGGCATATGTAAAAATAAATATTATCATTTATTTTTGCCTTCTTTTTTGACTGACCACCCCAACTATTCTTCTCTTCATTATCCACGACAGTCAACCATTTACCAATTATAAGTGATTTATATTATGGAAAAAACTAAGAGTAAGAAAACTATTATTTTATGTTTTTGTTATTAGTATATTGATATTACCTTTTCACAATTAAGTGGCATTTCTTTTAAATAATTCATTTACCACATAGTAACTTATGGGATGCCCAATTATCTACTTGACATTGTCGAGAGCAATACCAAACTTTGCGACACTTAGAGCACCGCTTCAAAGCTTTCGCAAAACATACAGCACAAGTATTGATATTATCAGCAACATCTATCAATCCATCTAATCCATTTGCGAAACCTTTAACAATATTGACTAAATCATTGTGACGTGGATAGAACAATAAGGTCACTACTTTCTCAGCAATTTCCTTCCATTTATCATTATAATCTGCCAATAATTCTTCTTTGTAACCGGAGTTAATCTCAAGAATAAAAGGATTCTTCATATCATCTTTGGGTGATACCAGGCTCAATCTATGAAGCCAAAGTTTCAAGTCTGCCAAAGGACTAAGTTGATCGACAACACTATCATGAAGATGACGTACAAGCTTGGACAGTACTTCTTTTCTATAATTAGTGTATGAATAAACAGTATCTACCGTGGAATTCATTAGTAATTCTCTCAACAATAACCATGCTTGACATTCTACTTTACTTAGCACAGGATCACTTGGTAGCCATTCCTTCCATTTGTTGTCGACATATTTGTAAACCTTATCTCCATCCTTAATGGACCACACATTCTTATCGATTAAATGAGCAACTATCACTGGTAGATCATAAGTGGTATATATTGTGGATGCTGCAGTCAGGCGCACCTTATCCAAATTTTCTACAACATAACGTAGTATGCTCAAGCTTGAAGCACTGACACAACAATTCATAAGAGTTATATTATTATTAATTACTTTTAATGTGTCACTATCACTGAAGGCATTTTCACTGACTTTATACGCTGCTTTGGTATCAAGCACTATCAGATGAGATATTGAATAGTCAACCAAATCTATGCAAGACTCATATAAATCCCAAAATACTTCCTCATAGAACAATACAACCTCTAAAATAGATGCAATGAGTTGCTCACTGTACAATATAATATATGTGGGTATAACTTGCTCTGGTTTTGGAGAAAATTTACACATTTCAGGTAAAATTTTAATTCTCCAAACTGCTAGAGTGACCAATTCTTTAACAAAAACTTCAATGTTGTTATTTGCTACCAGAGCTGATTTGACTCTTTCTTCACAAGGTGGGGATTCTGCTTCCAAAACACTAACCTGGTGAATTTTACAAAGTTTATCTCTGTCTTTGAACCAGTCTATAGTACCGATTTCATCTAGTTTTGAAACTTTTAAATTTTGAATTATATGATCGAGTTCAGGTGTCGTGAGAATATCGGAAGACATTTTGATAAAAATGTATGCTCGCTGAACCAGTATATAATAGAAAATAACAAAAGGTTAATACCAAAAAATAAACAAGTCAGATACCATGGAAACAGGTTCTGCCATTCCCATATAACTACATATGGAAACAGTTTTAAGGAATATACTCATTTTATTCTATCCATTTCTTTAAAAAATAATCATATTAGTTGTTTGAAAATGTCAAGTGTACTCTTATCCCAAGTTTAAATTACCTCATTTTAATTTAATCATATAGTTAACATAGAACATTATGCCAATATGTTACAAGGGAGAAAAAACTAATATTTTACCATTTTAAGAACAAAAAACTGCTAAAGAATATTATTATCTGTATAACTAGATACATTGATTTTTTTTTTTTAAATCATAATATAAAAAATAAAACTAACCAAAATAAAGGGGAGAATAAAACAGAAAAAAATGGTATATAATAAATACATTAGACACAAAACATAAAATTAAAGTTGGTAAAATATTTTAAGGTTATATTTAATGAAATGTTTTTGTTTATTTTCACTCAAGGCTGTGGACCATCTCTCCCTAATAATAACAATAAAAGATCATATAATTTTATTTTTGATTTATAATGATGCCTTTATAAATAACTTGCTAAGAGTGGATTTTAATGATAAACTCTCTTCTTTCTTCATATAATTAAAACTATTAAAGCTAATCAAAATAAATCAATACTCCAAAAACTTTTTTGGCACTTGTATACCAAATTAAATTCTTAAAAAATATTTTTCAAAAACTTTTAATATTTTTTTCAATTATTCCTCTTGACCATTTAAAAAATATATTCTAAAAAGGGAAGTTAAGGGGAAAACATTGCTTTGTTATACTTCTCTAGCCCTCAAGACAGCCTGGGTGAAAGATCAGCATTAATAATAAAGAAAACAAAAAAATTCTCAATTAAAGATGAAAGTTTTATAAATCATATAAATTTGTTAAATATGTGCCAATGTTTTCCATAATGCTTACTACCACTAAACATGATATTGTCACATAGTTGTTTACAGTTGACAATCTAAATTTAACTACCATCAAACCATTTTAAAATTATTATTTACTATTTTTTCTTTAATAGAAATAGATTTTGTGGTTTAACGAATATTGTTTGAATTACTATTAGCAAACCTCATTCCCTTCTCTTAGGTTTAAAAATATTAAAATTACGTTTTAGAGCTAATTCTATTATAAAATAAATCCTCTAACATTTCCAAACATAGCTCTATAATATTTATTGGTTATCTTTCAAGTCCATTAATCCATTCCTTTTGGTCAATCAATGAATAATAATAATGATGTAGTGCAGCTTCAGTAATCCAAACTTGCAAAAATAAAAAATGAGGGAAACCGAATGAATGAAAGTATTTTTAGGGAAAGAAAAAATAAAGGAGCAGAGATAAATTTCTAACAGAAATCACACAAATGTATAGACAAATTACCAGGACTTTTAGCTCAAACACTATCATTGCAATAATATACAAAGATATTGTCTAGCTTCAATCACCATATTTGATGTAATGCAGTGGAGAATACATCATGACAACTAATCTATTATCCTACAACATCTATGAGAAGAAGCAATAAGAAAAAACAAAAAAAAAAAAAATTCTATTATTAAAAAATAGTTTTATTAATATAAATTCAAAGTTTTCAAGTGAGTGTACATACATGGATCTGATCTATAAAGTTGTATATATTTATTGATTTTAAATCTATTTAGTTTTACCAAGCAACCTCTGTAATCTGAACATCCTTCCTGCAGTTTTTATTTTGGATTACAAAGATTAAACTTCAGTACATCAAAGTAAAACATTACTAGACTGTTTACCTAATTACCTCACTATAATTCATCATGATAATGTAATTAAAAGCTTATATTAGAAATAAGTAATTCTTAAGATTTTTTTAAAACAATAACTTGACTATTGATGGGTTCTCAGTTTAAACAATGTTTGATAAATAAACATAAACTTCATTCAGTTTAAATAAACTTTATTCAGAACAATTATATTTTTTCAAAGTAAGAAATAGGTTTTGAATAGTCTGTTACCGAATTTTCAAAAGTACCCTAACTCTCTTCCTTGTAACTGTAATTCAATGTTTCCATTTCTTCATATATTCAGTGGTGTAACCACTTACTCATCTAATTCTAGTCAGCTGAGTATATATACTTACACGCATTTGATTACACATATTACACAAATTTGATTTTTTTTTTTTATAAAATCCAATAGCGAAACTACATAACACAACATTTTGTATATCCAAGTTTTGAAGGACTTAAAAATACATATTATAACAAAATTATCACCATTTATGTTTAACAACATTTTTGAAGACAAATTATTCCAATAAAACCAATACAAAGTGTTTATTTATTAACTAATATGGTAAAAATTCTTAAGTTTAACACACTTTATGGTATATATATATATATTCTCTGTCTTAACTTTAAACACTTTATTTTCACTCATAGTTCATTCCTTTGAAACTGTAAGGTGTACATATTATATATGGGACAAGTTTTAACAAAGCACAGAAGAGTTTATTTAGTAGCTAAAAAAGACAAGAACTATTTAAGAAATCTTTTATTTGTTTGTCTATCCATTTAATAATTTTAATAAAGCATAAAAGAACCCATTACAAACGAATTAAGACAAGATAATAATTTTATTAAAGTCTAAAAAAAATTGTATTTATCAATTATCTCATTATTATTTAATTCCTAATTGTTTAAACAGTGAAACAGCTAAAATATTTAGTTGCACTAACGATAAAAAGAGAGCAGCACCAATCAAGAAAGCCCAGAAAACATTTTGTAATAGTTGTAATTGGTAATTGGTTGACTGTCGTGGATAATGAAGAGAAGAATAGTTGGGGTGGTCAGTCAAAAAGGAAGGCAAAAAAATAAATGATGATATTTATTTTTTACATATGCCGACGTTTCGACCTGAAGTTCAGGCCTTCATCAGGGCTGTCTCCTTAAGTGTTGCAGGGAGAATCAAAGTGCAAGCATCCAAGAAGCAGCTTGGACATCTTCAGTACCCAAACCTCGGAATACAGGAAATCTACCAAACTATCCACAATACATAAGGGACCTGATCAGAGCCAAGAGAAGAGCTCAAAAAGTTTGGCAGACGAACAGACTCCCATCATATAGACAGGCATTTAACAGAATAAACAACCATTTAAAACGACAAATACAAAAATTCAACCGAGAAAAGTATGACATATACATCAACAATCTTTCAACAGACGATGGAAGCTTGTGGAGACACACAAAAAAGCTGCTAAAACACCGGCAGGTGTCAGCACCACTTCGTAAAGATGATGGCTCCTGGGCTGTGTCGGACACAGAAAAATCAGAACTTTTTGCAAATCACCTCTCATTAGTTTTCACTCCACATATTAATCTAGCGAACATTGAACACGATAACCTTGTACTCAACTCCTTGGACACTCCATTACAATTAACCCCTCCTCCCACCTCCTTTTCCCCATCTCAGGTTGCAAAACAAATTAAAGTGTTAAAAAGAAAGAAAACCCCTGGTTATGACTTAATAAATGCTGAAGTGCTCCAGCAAATGCCCAGGAAAGCTCTGGTGTTTCTAACTACCATATTTAATTCTATACTGAGGACTGCCAAATTTCCTATTCAATGGAAGTATTCATACATATCCATGATTCATAAGCCAGGTAAAGAAATTTCTTCCCCTTCATCTTATAGACCTATCAGTCTACTTCCTACTTGTGCCAAAATATTTGAAAAATTACTATATAACAGACTCCACACATTATTAACAGAGCAAAAAATTTTACCCGATCATCAATTTGGATTTAGATCATTACATTCTACCACTCAACAGTTACACAGAGTCACAGATTACATAGCAACAGCACTAGAGCAAAAGATGTATGCTACTGGTGTATTTCTGGATGTTGCTGAGGGATTTGACAGGGTCTGGCGCCATGGACTTCTTTATAAACTTAAGAAAATACTTCCTTCCTCTTACTATCTTATATTACAATCATTCCTCTCTGATAGATTCTTCTCTGTTCGACAAGGCTCTGAAATCTCAACTATCAGACCAATTCTGGCCGGAGTGCCCCAGGGATCAATTCTTGCACCTCTGCTTTACATAATTTACACACATGACATTCCCCTCTCCAGTGACACTTTGATAGCCACCTATGCTGATGACACTACTATTATCACAAGGCACAATGACCCCACACATGCTTCATACACTTTACAAAATCACTTGCAAATCTTACACGACTGGTATAAACTTTGGAAAATAAAACTAAATCACAACAAATCCCAACACATAACATTTTCACTCCGACGCGAAAACTGCCCTCCTGTCTATCTTGACAACGAACATATTCCCCAATCTGACAAAGTACATTACCTAGGCCTAACATTTGACAGAAGGATGACATGGGGCCCACACATCACTGCTAAGCGAAAGACACTAAATCAACGATTTAGACTATTATATTCCCTACTGGAAAGTCGCTCAAAACTAAAGCTAAGACAAAAACTTAATACTTACACTTACTTACTAAAACCACTTTGGACATACGCATCACAAATATACGGAATTGCCAAAAAAACTCACATTAAGAAATTACAAATATTCCAGGCCAAAACCTTCAGAACAATTACTCAAGCACCTTGGTATGTTAGTAACATAACTCTCCACAAAGACTTACACATGCAAACCGTCACAGTACATATTCAAACTTACTACAAAAGGTTTCACAACAAGCTCTATGGTCACCCCAATAGACTCATCCAAGACATGACCAATAAAAACATGCCCGATAACATCTGCAGAAGGCTGAAAAGGAGTTGGATGAGAGATCTCCTTAATTAGTCTCAAACATGACTGAAGATAAACCACTGGGTTTTTCTCTTCCTCATGCCTATCATGCCCTTTCTCTAGTGTCTATTCACTGGTTGTCAG